TGTCAATCAGTGAGAGTGATATGATTTCTAAATAACTTCATCAAACTTTTATAAGTTTAAGAAAGGCAACAGACTTTAAGTTTATGATAAAAATATCAATCTCAGCATCAATATAAGTTTCAATTATAAATTAGATAGGGAGCCTGACATGTATAATAATCTGAAGCTACACGGCCCTGTGATGTATATTCGACGCATACCATTATATAGCAGCTGTCAAAAAGCCAATTGTGAGATTTTGTGTATCAAGCAATGAAATGGATAAAAATTGAATATCAAATGGGATATATTAAAAATGCAGTTACTGGTACACACAAGGAATTGAAAGATATCAGGAAATAATAAGTAATTTTTAAATTGTTGCATAGTTTCAAATTAGAATGTGGCCATTCCAATTGGCTTTTTAAGCACTAATGAAAAAAATCTGAAAATTAAATAAACAAAAATGAAGGCTTCTACTCATATAGTTCCTAATGACATGCTCCAAAGCATGTTACATTTAAACACTTACTTGGAAATGTAGTGATTTGCACAAACAAGCTAAGATCTTACTTAGTTTGCAGGATTCCACAAAACGCATTTGATTTGGATGGCTTTCATTTGCTCTGGTGGTGATGGTAGAGAGAAGACCAACTTCTTCCAGCCCTTAAACTCTCTGAGATCTCTGGGCTCCTCCAATTCTGGTTTCTTGAATATCATTCTGTTTCATTCTGTCATTGGTGAGTATGTCTTTATCTGCTTAGGAAGAAAGAAGGGTTGTATTTCAATAGCATCATTTATGGCCTCAGAATATCCTAAAGAATGATGCAAATTAAACACTTTGAAGTTGAATCTGATAACAATTTTACAAAAAGCACTGTGGTAGTGACCAGATCATCAATTTTAGTGTCGTGTGTTTTATTGTTAGGAAGTAATTAAATGTCTCTGCTGAAAGATAAGCCCTACCGATGGGACTCCCTTCCTAAATATTTTCACTGTTCTACCCGTTTTGCCTCCTGTAGAGTGCAACATAAAAACGTAAGACCTTGACATATGATATCTTCTAATGCAGATTAGTTTTAAATTGCATTCCTGAGTTGCACTTTGAATGTTTCATTAAAATGAAGTATTCTGTTTGCTTTTGCACCACCTTATCCACCTATCCTGACACCTTCAAGGACCTTTGAACCTGCACTCACACTTAATCTACACTTGTTAATATCCATTTATTGTGTACACCCTGTTTTTATTTCCCTCCCAAATGCTTTATCTCAAACTTTTCTACATTGAATTCCATTTGTCATTTTTCTGTCAAATCAATCAAACTATAGTCAATGAACAGTTTTATCAAAAAAAATCTTTTAGATGCAATTAAAGCAAAACAACATCTTCTGCTTCTTCCAAATTTTTAAACATACACAACACTATTCAATGTTCTGGTTAGTTACCTGTTCAACAATAGCTTGAGATTTTGTAGCATCCCTAAACTTTTAAAATTCCATTACATGTTCTCTGTCCCAATTTAAACGAGGGAGTTGTGTGAATATTCTGACAATATGCCTTTGACCTTCCCTTGTTTCTTATTGATCTGGTACTTACCCTGATCACTTGGTTTCCTTGAGTGAGTTCCACTGACTTCCTGATTAGGACTTGTCTGCTTACCAACAAGCTCTGCTTTTTCTTTTCAGGATATGGGCTATAAAATGACCTGTTATAAGAAGTCAAGTTTGGATTCAGTTCTGACTGCAAACATTTCAATGGTAAAAGTACCTCCAATTATCAAAACACAGGAAATAACTCCTAATAAAGGAATCTTAAAACTTTCTGGTTCAATGGTTTTACAGATAGAGGAGTAAGGAACCTTGAAACATTGTGACTTGGGTGATACTTAGCAAACGTGGAGCTTTGGGCATCATTGAATGTCTTGAACCAGTCATAAAGCCATTTTGAGACAGTTCATAGGGACCCAGTCCGTGAGGGGTGACAGCACTCTTGAAAACAAGTGCTGGCCACATAGTGTGTAATCAATCCCCATCTACCAGATAGAAATAAAATATTGCGGATGCTGGAGATCTGAATTAAAATCAGAACGTGCTGGAGATCTGTGGAGAGAGAAACTGCATTAATGTTTTGAGTCTGGTATATTATTATTCTGAATTGAAAAGAATAGAACTAAGTAGTTGTTTATAATTATGTTCACAGAGCGGGGAGGATGAGCAATTGGAACAGATTGTGAAGGTGCCCAGAGCAAAAGACAAAGTTAGTGATGGATTAGTTAGTAGTGGTGATGGATTAAAGAGGTGTAAAATGAGTGTAAGTGAAGGTGTGAAAGGAGAAAGTGGGTCCACTCTGCTGACAGCAAAGTCAACAAGACGCAATGGAAACATGGCTGGAGGTAGGTGGGGGGAATAAAAGAAAAATGGAGGACAGAGGTCATGCATCACATTTGTGGCCCTCAATATTGAGTCCTCGAAACTGTAAAATGTCTAAACTGAAAATGAAGTTTTGTTCCTCCCGCTTGTGTTGAGCTTAATTGGAGCATGTGGCAGGCTCAGGAAGGAAATCTCAGCAGACAGTGAGGTGGTTTATTGAAATGGAATGTCA